TGCTGGAACACCAACATAGCGCTAACTCGCCGAAAACGCTTCAAAATGGCCTGAGACGCTCGGAATCAACAAAGAAAACAACAAAGCAATAAGGTAAGCCCATTTTATTTCAAAACAAGACACTTTTTTCTCTCCTTTAAGGCAAACCGATAACATCCCATTCAAACCTTTATAAATATAAAACGTTGCGCAACACGTTAAGAATCGCGTCCGCTTTTCTAGTAGTGAGCTTGGGCTGCCTGTGTTCAAGTAAGCGATTCAAACATTTATTCTAACCATGCATGATTTAACAGCAAAGCTCAACCTCTAAGACGAAGAACAAAATAGTCAGTATGCAAATTTATCTTTTATTTGTTTAGTCGGCTAGGAATCCTTCGAATTCTTCTACAAGGAGGAAATTTTTCTCTGTTACAAATTAAGATAAATATTTACCAAAGAATAGGGTTGAACAGAGAGACACGCACATTGCATGTGTTTTTGGTTGAGATAGCGTGTTGATATAACAAATAATTGTATTTCTTAATTTATCAGAAAACCCTAAACAAGTTTGTCAGGTCGCAACGAAGTATGCTCGACCGCGGTTCAGAAATTCCAGAATCGCTGAAAGAAATAAGAAGGTTCTTACAGAACTATGTTGAGATATAGAACTATCGTGCAGCTGTCATGAGGACGACTAAGGGACGTTAGGAGGTGTGATTAATGATTAACCAAAGATAATTTAGAACCACGACCCCTCTCTTGACTGCCACCTTGCTGTGGTGGAGGGGCTTGTACGTTTCTAAGAAGATGGTTATTACAGAACTATGTTGAGATATAGAAATATGTTGAGATATAGAACTATGTTGAGATATAAACTATCGTGCAGCTGTCATAAGGATGGCTAAAGGACGTTAAGAGGTGTAATTAATGATTAACTAAAGAGAATTTAAAACCACGACCCTTCTCTTGACTGCCACCTTGCCGTAGTGGAGAGGCTTGTACGTGTCTAATAAGAAGGTTATTACAGAACTATGTTGAGATATCGAACTATCGTGCGGCTGTCATAAGGATGGCTAAAGGACGTTAAGAGGTGTAATTAGTGATTAACTAAAGAGAATTTAGAACCACGACCCTTCTCTTGACTGCCACCTTGCCGTGGTGGAGGGGCTTGTACGTATTAATAAGAAGGTTATTACAGAACTATGTTGAGATATCGAACTATCGTGCGGCTGTCATAAGGATGGCTAAAGGACGTTAAGAGGTGTGATTAGGGATTAGTTAAAGATAATTTAAAACCAAGACCCCTCTCTTGACTGCCACCTTGCCGTGGTGGAGGGGCTTTTACGTGTCTAATAATAAGGTTATTACAGAACTATGTTGAGATATCGAACTGTCGTGCGGTTGTCTTAAGGATGGCTAAAGGACGTTTAGAGGTGTAATGAATGATTAACTGAAGAGAATTTAGAACCACGACCCTTCTCTTGACTGCCACCTTGCCGTGGTGGAGGGGCTTGTACGTGTCTAATAAGAAGGTTATTACAGAACTATGTTGAGATATCGAGCTATCGTACGGCTGTCATAAGGATGGCTAAAGGAGACTAGGAGGTGTGATCAGGGATTTACTAAAGATAATTTAAAACTACGACCCCTCTCTTGACTGCCACCTTGTCGTGGTGGAGGGGCTTGTGCGTTTCTATGATGCTGAGAACTCAGCCGGCGGAGGCATGTCAGCCTCTGGCAGGTACAACCAAGCCGGAAAGATCAAAGGGAAGAAACCAGACTAAAAGGCAGTCAATATTTGAAGCCAGAAATTAGTTATTTTTTACGGAACTCTATCCTTTGCTCTCGTTTTAATCTGTCTTTGTATTTGTAAATAAAACGCAAAAAAAAGCCATCAAATATTAGTTCTCTTTCAATGAAAAAATGAAAACGAGAAATGTAAAATGTGTAAAGAGACTTTTGTAAAAACGACTTGAAAATTGTGTAATATGTAAAAATGTAAGATAAGCGCAAAAATATGTAAAAATTTATATGATAATAAAACGAGGTCATTCAAAACAGTTTTTATATAGTTAGTATCTGTCTTTCACCAATCGAGTAAATCGATCATCATCATTTCACTATTTAGGAGTATGAATTAGCGTTTCCGAGAGTTTCGCAGGAACATGGGAGCTATCCATAATACAATCGCAGACAATTCGCAGGGAATTTTTACTTTCGTTTATTCCAGTCCCGCGTTCATTCGAGGGGTTGCCTATTCCATAAACACATAGTTTTCGGATGGGTTGGAGGGCGCTTCCACCACATTTAATTTGCAGCTTCGCGAGCCGAACGAACACAACAAAACCCTTTACTTGACACCTTCCATTCGCCAAAACTTATCTTAAATGGAAATTTTCGTGCTTATACGCAATGATGAACGTTGTGAAAGATTTTGATTTTGATGAAAGCGAATATGACGTACCTGTAATTGTAAGTGCCCGTATGTTCAGAGAATTGTAGCGCTAGGCGCTCTCAGTCTGATTCCGCAGAGGCTGATAAAGGCATCATATCAATGATGCCTTTATCAGCAACCACTTCGCGCTACAAAAGACATCCGTCTAGTATTTTGAAATATCAACATCCTCCACCTTTTAATATGTTTCAATCGAAATGATAAAATCTTTGGATATTAATGATCGTGCAGCATTTGTTAGTTTCTGGTGCCGCGGTTTAATTCCTTAAACGAGGTTAGATGGCGAAATGGCTACTGATGTACAAGCACTTAAATTTACTGATCTATCGATTCTCGAAGATTTGTTCTCAGGTATTGATCTTTTAAATTATTGAAGAAAGGTTAGAAAGAAGAATTAAGAATCGCACAAAATCGAATCTACATTTGACCAGGTAAAAGGATTTTAAATTACAATTATTTTATGCGATTAATGCGTTAATCATTATAGTATCAATCATTTTGAATCGTTCTTATAACAAATCATCATGACATCAATCATGATATATTATTATTACACCAGTCATTAATTATTAAATTTAATAAATCAAAATTGAAATCTTATCCAAGAGTGATAGCTGGAAATGTCGCCATATCCGGCGCTGATTCACTGTGTACCTTTTTAAGTATAGTTATTTTAGTCTGTGAGTAACTTAGAGTTTAAGTTACAGCATGTTTGCGAGAATGCTGTATGTGGTGGGCCAGCTGGTTATTAGAGCTTACTAGGTAAAGCTAGATTTGCAAGTAATGCTCATTATGGAAGTTATTTTATTATTGTAAGTTGCGTTAGTGATTTTGTTATTGTAGCTTTGAAGTAGACTATGAATAAATAAATAAATAAATAAATGAAAAAAAAGAAAACAAGTCAAACGCAAGCGTGACGCAAATGACTAATTTGATGTCAAGTGTCAAGTACTTTCTGGTTGTACAGCTTTTCAACTGATTTCCGCTTTTGGGCTGAAATGTCATTTCCAATATGATTGTGATATGTTACGCGAAACTTTTGCGATAATCATATCATAATCAAGTCACGCAAGCAACGAGCGTCGCAAACATCAGCAATAATTGAGGTCTCTGATACATTTACATTTTTACATTTATATAGCGCAGGCTTCTATGTGGATATATTCAGTCGCGCTTATCAGTATCGTAAGGTTGAGATCAGACGTCAGCATTTTTATCAGGCGCCTCTGGCAGCCGCTTCAGTCCACGTAGCGAACTCACCTTCCCACCCATCCCCCCCAAGGGAGGACATCCCCTACACAGTAATTTCGTGCGTGGGAACTTTACGTCTCCTACCCCGGGACCTAAGGCTTTACGTCTTATCCGAGAAGACGAAGTAATGTGAGTGAAGCGTCTTGCTTAAGGACACAACGTCATGCCCCAGCCAGGACTTGAACCCGGGCCAACCGACCCAGAGTCCGGCGCACTGACCACTGGACTACTCACGCCTCATGATAAAGTTCCTCATGCACGTGTAAGGCAGCTACATGCTGAAAAGATGATGAAAAGGGGCAAAAATGATATTTTCACCGTGAGGGAATTTTCACCATCCATTTAAATATACTCAGACGTTAATATATTTTCATGAAACTTGTTTATCAGGTCTCGAAAAGACGCCACCTTTCTTCGTAACATATGGAAAGACGAATACCTTGTTTTTGAGAAAGTTTTGAGAAACATCTGCATCTCAAACCGCGAAAAGTGTCGCGTTAGTAAGTCTCTTTCCGGCACCAAGTTTGTGACATATCTTCGCCGTTTTTCGCTAAACCCCTGCAACTGAGAACCTCAGTGGCACATCTACTTATTCCCCCTCATGTAAGTCCTGTGAGACGGTTCATGAAAGGTTTATTTTTAAATGTGCAGTTATGAGAACAAGGAGAAAATTGCCAACTTTTCATACTTTATTGAATCACCCTATTTTTAGATCACTACATCTGACAAGCTATTGACCCTATAACTCATGATAAATTCTAAAGATGTGCAAGTTGACAAGCGGCCATTACCCACAAAACATCGGAACGCTAACATGATCAGGATACAACGGTTCTTAACGTTTTCACTTTGCCTTGACAGTATTAGCTACTCATCAAAGTCCCTAGTTTCTATTCTTCGTGTCTTAACATACCAATGAAAATAAACATAATTTGGTTTTATCAGCTGAGATCGTGATAGTATGAGTCGGTCACCGTAAATTGATGAGTTTCTAAGCTGTTGTTTCAAGCGTTTGCCCTTCGTCAAAGCGAAATGAAAATCAAATTGGAATGAAAATCAACTGATTCTTATGTTTCACAAATTAATAACAATCATTTTTTCAGTTCTATTTTCTTCAATATTTCAGAGCAAGAAAGTGTCCAGATCTGTGTTAGCGAAACCGAGTTTCGATTCAAACTCTTTAATATATATAAAGCCGTTTGTCAACTTACAACATGAAAAATAACTAAATACCAAGGAGAACATCTATCAGACATTAAGCCATTCATTAATCAAAAAAAGTATCATCAAGGTTTTGTAATCAAGGTTTTGTAATCTGAGAACAAATTCCCGAATATACACTTTCCCACTTAACCTATGAGTCAACGCTCATACACACGTAATTGTTGAAGAGCTATCAAAACGAAATTATTAAGAGATTTTACATCTACCTACAAAACCTTATGTAAGTTCTAATATCAAACCAGTCTAATTGTCTTTAAAAATGTGTCACTTGACCAGTATTCAATCACTGATCTTCGAGACACTTCGAAGAGGTTTTTCTATTTTTTTTTTAAACTGAGGTCACTTGACCTTTCCTGAATTGTACCACTGATACCAACTACTGTATCCTAGCACACATTCGTTGTAAAAAGAGACGTCGGCAAAATTTTAGAAGACATCAGCTCAAATGTGAAAATACGAGCCTTTGTTGCAACACAAATAAGCAGCCATTTTCATCTTCCAAAGCAACAATTCCTTATAAACTGTCTTTGTGTACTTAGTTACCATGTGACACACGGCCAAATGGCCTGTGGATCATGCAGGTATGAAATATAATCAGAACAAATGTCATCAGAACGAAGCAAAATACATGTACAGCTTAATATCAGGAGTAACCACTTAACCATTTCAGTTAAGAGACATTTCCATTGAATGAGGGAAGTATGTACCTTTTGGATAGACCACTTTGATTTTATGTTGCGCAAACATTCACCTTTCCAAGAAAGTGATACAAAAATTTTCTTTGGGTAGACTCATATCGCGCCAAAAATTACCTTGTCTGGTATGTAATAGGAGTATTTTCTTTAAAAATCTGGTCAAACAGGACGAGCGTATTGGCCAATCCGTTTCACATGAAAGTAGACCATTGAAACAGATTCATATCACGCCAAAAATTACCTTTCCAGGTATGTAATAGGAGCATTTCCTTTCAAAATCTTGTCAAACAGGACGAGCGTATTGGTCGATCCGCTTCACAAGAAATTAGACCATTCAAACAGACTCATATCTCGCAAAAAGTACCTTTCCAGGTATAAAATATGAGCATTTTCTTTCGAAATCTAGTCAAACAGGACGAGCGTATTGGCCGATTCGTTTCACACGAAAGTAGACCATTGAAACAGACTCATATCTCGTAAAAAAGTACCTTTTCAGGTATAAAATGGGAGCATATTCTTTCGAAATCTGGTCAAACAGGACGAGCGTATTGGTCGATCCGCTTCACAAGAAATTAGACCATTTAAACAGACTCATATCGCGCAAAAAATTACCATTCCAGGTATAAAATAGGAGCATTTTCTTTCGAAATTTGGTCAAACAGGAAGAGCGTATTAGCTGATCCGTTTCACACGAAGGTAGACCACTGAAACAGACTAGTATTGCCCAAAACATAACCTTTCCAGGTATAAAATAGGAGCATATTCTTTCGAAATCTGGTCAAACAGGACGGGCGTATTGGCCGATTCGCTTCACACGAAATTAGACCATTCAAACATGACTCATATTGCGCCAAAAATGACCTTTCCAGGTATGTGATAGGAGCATATTCTCTTTCGAAACCTGGTCAAGCATGACAAGCGTATGGGTCAATCTGCTTTAGAATCTGCCGTAAAATTGCCACCATTAATTTCTCGTAGGCATAAATGATACATATTTTCACTTTTCACCGTGAGATATCTTCACTGGCTTCTTCAATTTATGTTTTGGAATTGAACGGAATAGAACTAAATTTCTAATTCTCAGAAACAAGCTTTAGGCTAAGTGTAATAGATGAATTCTCAAATTTCTCTTAACAAACATTTCTAAAAAATTAACCACGCTTTTTGAGAAAACTAAAAAAGGGTATATTAGTAAGCATCTTATCTTCATGAGTTTGGTTTGCCTAAATTCCAATATCAAATTCTAATATAAATTGAAATATAATACCCATATATTTTTCCCCTGACTTACTTACTTAAACTATTCTAAAAATCTGACACAATTATACTACGTAATCAAGTTAGATAACCTACTTATCGGTTATGGGAGTCTACCATTTTTAGGAACTGAAGTAAACCTCCTTCATCGTGCCTACCAGATCGGTCAACGCCAACTGCCATAACAAGTCACGTGCTGGTTCAGCGACAGGCTCGCAGAAATGCTGATTGTGTCGTTCTTCAACAAATAGGCAAAAGTCTTTCTACAATAGGAGAAATAATAACTAGTTAAGTTTTTCTTCCGTCTTGCAAGATTCATGAAGGAAAGGCTTAGCCCTGAGTACAGTTCGCCTCGCTCGCCACTATCTTAGTTTTATGACTTCAAACAGAATAGCTTCGACTGTGCGCGGTTCTGTTGTAAAGTAAGCAGGAAGCAGCCAGAGCACGAAAGAAGTGTAGGCAGAAACACGAGACGTAGTCGAATTGTGCTTCATAAAAACACGCAAGCTTTTTTCACATGACAATTAGAAAAAAAAAATGCTCAAATAGGTAGACAAAGTAAAAATTGGCTAATGGCGTGACAGCTTTAGCTAAGCTTAATACTCTACACTCTGATGAAGCACTTTCAACCAATGACAAAACGCGTTATATCCGAACTTTTGAGTAACGCGAACCGCCGAGCTTCCAGCCGCGTTGGATCCCAAGGTATTGTCAGTTGTATCACTGTCGTTTTAGTTGGAAATAATCCTAAAAATAAAAAGAATATCCGATATCCTGATTTTGAGCAAGATTACCAGCTCTGGACGAGCCGCTAGGAGTGCGGTAAAACGCCGTACTGTTTCAGAGTAGACGATAACAATTCTCACCTAGTCATGACTTCACATATCGATTCGCTCTATGTTCTAGTTACTCCAAAGATTCAGAGCGCACGAAATTCAGCGCACTTTAGAAATCTTACTTCTCAGCGACAAAACACAAAGAAATCGCAATGTACGTTCAGGGCATCTAAACAGAAATCCATGCAGTGCAACTTCCGTTTTGCAAGGACGATTAAAAACGAATCTCGCATAGTCATGAACATTACCTAATCAGATTCGGCTTTGAATGTTTATGTTTCTTTCAGAAGCGTTCATTGAGATGACCGACCGATTGATGAAAACTAGTCGATGAATTACGAGTTTGTATGTTTCTTAGTTAGTGTTTTTGAGATAATAAGTGCGTTATTCTCTCCTCAAGTGTTTCCTATTTTTTCAAAGGCCGCTTCAATTTCATAATAATTCTGTCCCGCTTTCGGTTTCACATGAACGCGCAGATGTTGCTCAAAAGATTTCAATGTCAATAACAAAACAGTAAATAACACTGAACACGAAATTCAACTCACCCAGCTTCCAAAGTTGGCCACCCTAAGATATAAATGGTTAGCCAGCTCGATGGCGAAGTCCAACGCAAACTTCTGACGATTGTCTTGCTTTTGGTTCTCAGCAAACACCAGCGAGACAATCTCAGCAGCAATGGCGACGAGCAAGGCTCTGGTGTTCGGCTTGGTCTCATCGGCATTAGGCAAAGATTTACTGCTGATGACGTCAAAAACATCAGAGGCTTTTATCTGGGAATTAAGGAGGGACTTGATTAATCCTTGGGCTGGAACATCAGCTCGATCTTGGACAAGATCCACCATTTTCGCTAAATGGAGTCCCACACTGGCAGTCGACGAATACATAGACGACTCAAAACCTCGCCTTTTCAAAGCGTAGAACACCAGTTCTCTTGTCAATTCAAATGCAGTCAGCTGGGTGACAAGATCTTGCCTGTTTATTGCGCGGGCGAACTCCGTCAGGAAGTTGAGTTTCTCCAACGAAATCACTTCTGCGTCTTCCAAGCGATCAAAAATTTGAACGCCTGCGGAAAAACTCGAAAAACTCTTAGGAATATAGTCTTTGCAGTAAAATAAGAGTTCTTTTCTCTCTTCTTTCGTCAGATTCTGAGAAATCTTGACGAGTACAGTTCGATACCAATGCTTTAGATTCTCCAACATAGGTAATAATATTGTAGACTTACAACAATGATTAAAACTTTGTGCTAAGGGTCTTGTTCTGTGAAAGATGAATATGGCGGCTAAAAAACATAACATGAGCACCCTATTTAAATCAGAAACTGACGTAATAATGCCATATTAGGCATTCCAAGGTATTCACTACCTTTGTAAAGCTCGTTCTCAATTCCCTTCAGTTAGTTCAGATAACTTTACAATTTTTGACTGAAACATGGATTCTACTTCTGAGGGAAAATTTTGTAACAGTTACAAAACAAGGTAATTGAATAAACCGCGGATGTCTTAGGAATCACAAAAACTGTGGCGGGGAGGGGTAATGGGAATTAGTTCATGAGGTGGATAATTCTGAAAGAATGAAGACAAGACTTAAAGGTTTGAGAGGGAAAAACATTAGTAACCAAAAGATTCAACCAAGGCTTATGTCATGATTGTGTCTTCCTGACTTAAGTCCTACGATTCTATTATTTCCTTCTATCCTCCTTCATCTTTTTTCTAATGACATTCTTTATTACTCCAAGCAAGAGTCGACAAACTCAAGAACTCGAGAATTCATAAAAAATTCGCGTATAACTAATTGTTATATACATTGGTAAAAATATGATTATTAGATGATAAGAGAGTGATAAGCGAGCTTATTTACCCTTGAGGCTCAAAGGAGCTTATAGGAAAAAAAGCGCTCGTGCTTTAATCAATGTATTGTTGCGCCTGGTCACTGCACTTCCACGGCTACTTAGAAACTCAAAGCTTTAACAGACAACATTCAAATAAACTCATTTTTTTAATTGCTATTTACACTGGTTTTTTAAACATGTTAACATGGTTGTATGTTGTATTTTACGTTTTTATACTTTAATTTTTTAATTCCTTTTTCGATGAAATAAACTGAGATCTTTTTTATCTTGCTTCCTATGTACAGATATCAACTCCGCTAAAAAATGGACAAAAGCACCAAAGCCGGACACGAAAACCCCTAAAAACCATACAGCAGCTGGAGAAAACTGGGGGACGTGTACCCCCGACCAAGGCAGTGGTGCCTCCCTCGGGGTTTTAGGGTTTCCTTCATGATAACATCACTTACACAGATAAATGAATACCAGCATATAAAAGTATAATCCTAACAAGAGCATAAACCGAAGCTTATTTACTAGAACAAGACGTTTCTTAGGCTGAAATTGGCCTAAAGGCATACTAGTTATAATCTAAAGAAAGCAGTGAAGAATTCCTGTATGATTCTGGCATTGCCGTAGGACAATCCCGAATCTCGAAATTGAAATTTCTTCTGAATGTGCCTCCCTTAGCTGATAATTCTTTTTCTTTTCGATAAAAATGACAATAGCTAAAACGTTCTTATTCTACTCGAGTTGGGGACAACTGCAAAAATCCAAGAATACTATAATGGCTAAAACAAACATTTCTAGATCAGACAATATTGAGAAATCGTCCATCTCAGTTCTTTCCATTAAATTTTTGAGATACTCTGCCTTGAACGGTTCCTTTGGGTGCTTGAAAGGCGAGGACGGAAAACCAGAGATTTCTTCCTTGCCGGCTACCATGTGGGGTGGCTTGTTGGAGAACCGACGCCTGCTAGATCATGCAGCCACTTGAATGCGAAGAAAGAGTGATTGATGCAGAAACAGAGGAGGATGCAGGAACAGAGGAGGATGCAGAAACAGAGGAGGATGCAGGAACAGAGCACAATGGTTGGGCTCCTCTGGAAATGGTCCGATGCTAAGACTCCAGTGGCAACAGGTGTAATGAGGAACGTCTCAAGGGCCATAGAGACGTAAGTAGTAAATTCCAATTTCTACGTCAACCACACAATCTTATGTGATCACGGTAGAGACTTCGACCAAAAATCTGTGCGAAAAATTTCTCAGGAAACAAAAACAAGACAAAGCATACAAAACGTAACGCCAAGTAATAACAATGATAATGATAGTAATATTGATGATAATGATGATCAAAAAATCATTGGTGTGGAAATATCAGTGTACCTTATACAAAGACTACACTCTTTGGAACGCTGAATCCTTCAGTGCTGTGATCTTTAACCGCTAGATACCTTGTGTAAGATACCTTAGGAAACTTTTTTTCGCAGCTTAAAAGATGACCGAGCTTAAAGGTGTCGTCCGCCGGATGCGGCAATGAATGATAACATGGTAATGATGAGAGTGATAATAAGCCCAGGACCTTGCCTCGAGATAATAATAAACCTACGATGTCAATACTTAGCGCCACTATAAACAATACATATACGAGCACCAAGATCAATCTTTGCCTCTGACGAACAGGTTTGAGACATCGGGAGTTAAAATCCAGTTATGGACGACATTAATCCATCCTGAATCACGTGGAATGTTCCAATCAGAAATGCTGCAGCAAATTACAAAATCTAATCCAATAGGTGTTCCCGAGACGTCTAGAGCCGGCCGGTGAAATGTGACATAATAAACTGAGGTAATGGCAAACCATAATTTTTGAATTTATAGCCTTTTATTTGCTGCTATTTCAGTTAGATGGAACAACTTTTACCAAACTATCATCGCGACACAGAATATCGGAGAAAATCCAACTAAAGTTGCCGAATGCCAAAGTACCACACAAGCTTGCTTAAATAAGCAAAAAAATCCCTTTAACTACGTTCTCCCACTAGTTGTGTAAGGACCTATATAAGCATTGAGTCTACACTCTCACTAGACTATAACCATTTATGTATCATCTGAGAGTTAAGCAGCTATTACGATAGATTTATTCCTTTCTCTGATATAGAGTGCTTGATCCGTGAAATTCGGAAGCCTAAACCTATAACTGCTGCGAAAAATGTCTCAATAACTTTGTTCCTTCGTCAGTTTTGGGTCTTTGCCTATTGGTTTTGGGGTCATTTTGATCTTTTTGTCTGACTGGTAGTGAGCATGGAAACCAGCCTAGTAAATTGCATGAAAAGAGGACTTACCTTGTGGTTACTGTAACCATGGCATGAGCTGCTAGTGCATCACAAATGAGCCGCCATATTCATCTTTCTCAGGTAAAGATTCTGAGATATATATATATATATCAGTGATTGCTTTGCAGTCAAGTATTTGAGAGTGTGTAGCTAGAGCTACAATTGTATAGTGTGTACAACTGGCGTTGCACCAGGTTTGCCATCTGGTTCTCAAAGTGTAACCACAAGTCTGGTTCTCGATTCAGTGAATCTGGTGATAAAATCATAGAAATGATCAATATGTAAATTTGTACTGCTCACATGCACACCAGACTCAGACCCAGACCCAGACCCAGACCAATAAGTAAATTGTAGACCCTTTGAAAAAAATTATGTTCAAGTTCACGACGTTTGAATATTGAGAAAGCGAGAAAAATGAATTAGTTCTCCTTCAGTTCTCTCTATCTACTCTTTTCTTATTTTGTCCCACCAACATTTGCTAAATGAAACTAATGACTACGTTAAAGTGGATAATACTTATCCTCGTTTTTCAGTAAAAGAAGATATCCTTCATCTTTCCAATGAAGCTTAACATTAACTGCCGTGGAAAGTCAGACGCTAATTCAGGAACTGGCGCGCAAAAGTATCCATTGTTTCGTTCCGTGACAAATTGACAAAACTCCTCCTGAAGTGAGAGAAGTGAAAGCAATATATGTTACTCTGCAGTTTTGGAAAATTTATTCTGAAGGTTTATTGTCTGAGGACAGTTCGCAGCACTGGAGCTCACCTTACTTATTTGGCTTTATAAAGTCGTAACAAAAATTGTTAAACTTCAACATTTGTATGCTGTTAAACACTCAAGGGGGATGCACAAAAATGCCCTTTTTTAAGGTTGCAGCACTCTTGTTGCCATGGTAACAACGACTGCTCGTTCGAGGGCTAGGGCCTCATTTTCACACAATAAAATCTAAAAAAAAAGAGTAAAACGTTTATTTCTCTATCTCAATCTAAATACAATATTACAGATTGATACTTCTACCATATATAGCAACATCATTTTTCTTCACATTAATGCATTCAATCTTCCTTGGGGGTGAATGTGAACACAGCAATAGATCATTTATCTCGGTACATTTTCAGTCGTTTTTGATGTAGGCTAAAACAAGTAAAACGTTTATCTGAATTTCTCCAAAAGTACACCGATTCTGGAACTTAAAATAATCACCTAGTCGGTTATAATATTCTAGTTTTTAAATATGTAAAGATATTTCCGCTCCGACCTCTACTTTTCATAGGGGTAATTCGCGAACGAAGCTCAAAAATTAGATATTGCATTATTTGACGATGTTCATAATGTCATAATGTCGTCAACGACAAACGTCTCAGAAAAATGAAACGTGCATGGCTTGAAAAGAATGTTATCTTACGAGCAATATCCCGAGGAGAAATCTCGCCTCTGGTTGTCATCTTTTTAAAAAAAATTGATCGGCCTTCATGGAGGGCTACTTGACCTAACTGAAAACATATACCTTAAATCGTGTGCATATCATCCAGATTCCGAGTGCTGTATTTTCTTTCATGGGAATTTTAGCAGTCCGAAATCCTCTGAAGATACACTTTTGTACTTGTATGCCATATGAAACATGTTAAAGTCGGCTGATCTATGGGAAACTAACCATCTCCGATCATTTCTCATAAACATGTACGTTATCACGAAACTGGACCGAGATAAATGATCTATTGTTGTGTTCACATTCACTCCTAGGGAAAATTGAATGCACTAAAGAAGACAAATGATATTGTTATATAGAAGTATCAATCTGTAATGTTGTATTTAGCTTGAGATAGAGAAATAAACATTTTACTCCCAGTTTTTTTGAGATGTTTTTGTATGAAAATGAGGCCCCAGGCCGCGAACAAGCAGCCATTGTTACCATGACAACAAGAGTGCTGTTACCTTTAAAAAAGGCATTTTTGTGCATCCCCCCTGAGTGCCTAACTGCAAGCAAAATTGAAGGGGGGTTGAAAATTTTCATTTCCTAAGATGTTTGATTCTCACAGAGACTTGTTCTTAAACAGAAACATGAAGAAAGAAGGAGGAAGAAAAAAAAGCAACTTCAACAATGCTTAA